AGCAACAGTAGCAGGAGCAGGAGCAACAGTGGCAGCAGGAGCAGGAATAGCAACTGTAGCAGGAGCAGCAGCAACTATAGCTGCCTTCCATATTTCTAATCATTGGTTACATTTCTTGTTGAATAGTCTCAATATGAGATCTTCTACTTGTCTTTTTGTCTTTTGGTTTTTTATTTGATTTTCAGCTTTTAGCTTTTCAACTCAATTGAGTTTTAAATATATGTATATGTTTTAAATATAAGAGCTCATTTTTCTATTTTATAATTTCAGAAATTTTTTTATGGTTTATTAAGATTTATTTTAATTGCTTTTTATTTACAATAGCTTTTTATTTACAAATTAAAGTAAGTAAATTATTTCCTTTAAAATATCCATTAACAGCGCCTCAGCCTTAACATTGCACTGTTAAGCAGCTCACCCCAACTGGGAACAGTTTTGACAACACTTACGTTTCACACGCATTACCCCTGCCTGTTAAATAACATAGCGCAGTCCTGTACACATAACAGCTGTTACTTTGCTATAAAACTGTAAACAACGTATGCCAAGTTACTATAAAGTGCCTTAACAGCTGCCAACTGAATATAATTTTACAGGAGCCAATCAGCGCAGGGGTAACTGTTGCGCTGTTAGCCCTACAGAATGCTACCGCAAGCCAAGTGCTATGCTGTTATTTTTAACAGTTTTGCTCAATTGGGGCAACTGTTGGGCTCTTGCTTTAACATGCCGTCCACAGCGCAGGCTATTGTGTGGATTTTAGTGGATTTCATGGAAGCATTTTAATTAAGTGAATTCAATTTGCATGTTTAACGACAACTGGACGTGGTATAAGTGAATTTCGCGCATAAATGCCGTTATATGATGAATGTCCGCTGCAGCAGCAGCTGCATACGCGCGATGCTCATCGTTGCCCGCAGTCAAGTGATTTTCGAACAGCACCCAAAGGTATGCTACAAATTATTATATCGCCAGGCAAACAAGCGGAAGCACACACACACACGCGCATGCACAGAATTACACATGCACACATTTACAATTCCGGCTGCTGTTGTTCAGGCGCTTTGTGGCGACATTAGCATTGAGCAAATTGTCAATTGAATTGTGCCGCATAATTGGAATATTAAATGTTTACAAAATGCAATATACAAATATACGAGGCACAAGCTACACTCCACTACAACAACAATAACAACAACAACAAACAATGCAACAATGCTGCAATTTGCACTTAAATGCACACGCACATGGGCATAAATCAAACAAGCAGCACAGTGAACGGCACTGCCACGCCTCCACCCCCTTTCACACTGTTGTCTGCCGTGTTTAGTGGCCTGTTTTCAATGATTTGCATTTGAAACAATGACAGAATTTTGATAGCTTACCCCAGAAGCCGAGCATCAAGTGGGGCAGGCCAATGCTGCAGCTATTTGCCAGGTTGTTGATACCCAGTGCCCAATGGACACTCAAGTGTATGTGTGGTGTGTGTGTGTGTGTGTGTGTGTGTGTGTGTGTGTGTGGGTTTGTGTGTGCTGTAGTCACTCGACCATCGGACGAACCAAATTATTTGCCAATTGTTTGATTTTGCTGCTGTTTTGATTGCTGTGGCGCGTCGCTTTGTAATTTGTTATTGATATTTTTATTGTCAAGTGCAATATGTCAACAATATTTAAATAACATACAACAACAACAACTTGCTCATAAATATTAACACTTGATAATTGCTGCATTCTTGTCACATTTTTGTGCAACTGCATGGGAGCGAGGCATTCAGAGCGACATCAAATATACATGCAATATAATGAACTGCATGCGCGTGTGTGTGTGGGTGTGGCCACGCCCACTGACCACTGCCCACATGTGCAGCTGACAAAAGCACAAGCAGAGCTGCCAAGAAGCGCACAAATTGTTCGGACTCTGCCCCAAAAATAAAAAGAAAAAAACTGAAATAAATAAAAAACAAAAATAAAATGAAAAAAAAATTAAATAAATAAAATATATATATATCTAGGTCGGCATTTGTCGGTTTAGTTTTAAGTTTTTTGGCCAGCAGCGTTTTAAGTGCGGATATTTTATGAATTTTATACGCTGCTTGACCTGCCCAAGCCAGCTACGGCTCCTGCCTCATCCAGCTGGCGCTGGAGCTGCCTGTGTGCCATGTCTCTCTTTATCGCACCACACACCCGCCCACGGCACCACCCCGCCCCGTCAGCGTCTCCTGCCGAAAAATGCTTCACTTACTGTTATTGTGTTTGCTTTGGGCTTCCGTTTTTTGGTGGCGCTGCTCCTGCTCCGGCTCCTGCTACTCCTGCTACTCCTGCTGCTGCTGCTGCCACATCTTGTCGCAACTCTTGTTGCCGCTTCGGTTATTTTCTGGTCATTGTGCGGCTTGTTTACGCAGTGGGCGTGGCCCAGCCCCACACAGAGCCACACACACACACGCACACACAGCCATAGACAGTTGCGCCCACAGGGCCGCAGCTTTGGGCCAAGTTAGTGACACTCAATTTAAATTTATGCCGGTTTATAATCATTGCCCGCCTGTCATAAAGCCGTGAAATACTCTACGCCTCTCTCTTCCACTCTCCCACTCTCTCTCTCTCTCTCGCTCTGTCTCTTTTTGTTGAGGGCTGTGCACGAAATTGTGTAAACTGTTTAGCAGTTTACTGTTTGAAGGTCCTGGCTGCTCAATTAAATGATAATAAGGCATTATATCAGCGGCTTATGCCAGCACCTGATGAGCCGCATTTTGGTCGAGACTCTCTTTGGCCAATCTCTTACCTTTCTGGGCGTATGTCTGCCCAGATCTCCTGCCATCATCTATCTCTCTCTGTGTGTGTGTGTGTATGTGTGTGCTTGCAGGTGTTGATTTCGGCAGCCCAGCGATGCGTAGTTTGCAGTTTCTTCACTCGTAATTAGTTCAACTTTGCCAGCAAGCATTAAAAACTTGTTTGTGCCCCGAATATACAAAGAAAGAGGAAGAAACTCCAACTTTGTCTTCTCAGTCCGAAAACTTGCCCAAAATTCAAACTCAGCCATAAAGGACTCCAATCAGCATGTGCTACAAAATACAATACAAAACTTTGTAGAAGCCAAAGTTAGTTTTAGTTGTCTTAAATATTTCAAATATTTCTTGATTTTATTTCTGATTCATAGGAATATATGTGGATATATGTTAACAATTTACAAAGTAATAAATATAATTTTAATTGGGACTAGTCGACTAGGCATTACGCTAATCTCAGCTAAGATGGGTTATCATTATGATAACATTATATCATTATGATTTGCTATATGCTATCATGATAATTATTTTGATTGAGATTATGATTGCTTATGATTATGACTAAGATGTTCATCAATATAATAATGCTTATGAATGGGGTGATCACAATTATCTCAACAATTATTACTATGGCCCTGATAATGCATAACATAATCATTGTATAATGATCTAAATATTCCAAACATACCACATCTTTTATAAAGATTATCATTATTATATTATATATATCACTTTCTTTATAAAGATTATCATTATTATTATTAGAGCAGCCCAAGAGCTCATTCATAATAACTACAATGATGATGATCAGACGAACATCTTTCGTATCACTCAGCAGCTTAGGGCTCTATCTATAGCATATACACAAATCTCCTTCCACTCACTCTCAACAACTTGAATTTGCATTGTCAACGATGCATATTATCATTAGCTGCTCACTTTATGGATAATTTGTAATGATATATTGACAGGCACACATCTATATAGTATGCATGGACAAAATTACTTTTCAGTTTGCATTGCGGCAATTGTTGTTCGCTTGGAGCAGCAGCAGCAAATGAAGTTTAATTATTAAGCAATGATTCAGTTGCATTACTCATGCTCGAGCTTAATTACATGTGAGCGAATGACAGGACTTAAGTGAATTTCAGCCTTAAATCAATGCCAGTTCAAACACACACACACACAGCCACACCTCGACACCCACACACACACACCCACACACCCACACACTTTGCTGCGGGCTAACAAACTTGCAACCCTTTTAGCGGGTAAACAGCCCAAACGTCTCGCTCAACCGCTCACCCGCTCGTCCCGCCCGACCGCACGCGCTCGTCTCCCGCGCCTCAATTTAAATTGCGGCCATTTGGCCACTCAACGTTTAATGAGCAACAAATGTAATTTATTTATGGCGTCCACTGTTGAGGCCTTTGCCTCAGCTTCAGTTCGCAAAATGCTTCAAGTTTTCAGCACAATTACCATACGCACACACACACACACACACACACATGCGCAGGGACGTGCACACATGGGTCAGATAGAGCGAGATAGATAGTGCGAGAAACGCTGTGTAAATCGCTGGCCACTTTTAGCTGGCAGTTTTCTCAAAGGCATCCCACAGGCTATCTCACTCGCACTCGCTCACCCTCTCTCTCTCTCTCTCTATCGCTCACTCTCTGCAAAGTGTTGATATTTATGGATCATTTGCATATGTGTGCCAATGCAGAAGGGGCAGGCGGGCGGGGCAGACAGGCAGGCAGGCAGCTTTCTTTCCTGCCACGCTTGGCCAGCAGCAACAATGGGGCAAAAAATGTTAACTGGCGAGACAGTAAAGCATTTGCTGCCACTTCCGCAGCAGGAGGAGGAGCAGCAGGAGCAGCAGCAGGAGCAGCAGTAGGCGAGAATGTTGGATCTATGGAGCTGCTTTTGAAAGTTGTCCAGTTGCGGTAAACATAAATTCTCGTTGACACGTTAATATTGTTCCCTTTTGGTTTTGTTGTTGTGCTTGGGTGTGTGTGTGTGTGTCTGTGTGTGTGTGGCACAGTCCAGGCGCACATTACAGCTGCTGCTGCTGCTGCTGCAGTCAGCTACTGCTATTTTGCTGAAAATGTCCAACAAAAGCTTAAAAACATTTAAAAGGGATTTATAGACATTTGGGGAATATGCCAGGCAGCTGGACAGCCAGACAGCACACACACACACACACACACACACACAGAGAGAGATACAGAGAGATGCTGGCCAAGTACTATACAAGCCAGCCACAAAAGTCATTAAGCCACACAGAGAGTGAGTGCGAGCGAGAGAGATAGAGAGTGTGGGGTGCGAGTGAGAGATGTGGCCGAAAACAATAACAATTTTCGAGCTCAAATCTAATTCATGATTTCATTACCAAGGGGCGCGCCCATTTGGCCAACTTCTTAGAGTCGAGCAGAGAAAATCATTTCCTGTTTAGCACTCAATGCTGGCCAACCCGCAACCCCGCCACCCAGCTCCTCGCTCTTTCTCAGTTCCGCCCACTTTGCGCCCCCACTCTCTCGCTCTCTTTCGCTCCCACCAGCTCTAGGCCCGTAATTGTCTTTGGGCCTTTTTTTACGGCCCAGTGATAACAACTGAAAGTGTCACTATCGACAAAATGAAAAGCCATTAAAGAAAATTACCCGAGTTGACATTGAGTTTTCCAGGCATTAAATGGCACAGTTGAGCACGCCTATGAAGCCCTCAATGTCCTGCTAATCACATGCCCTGTGTGTCGCCCTCAAATTGATTTGCTTTCCGGTTGCTCTCATCACACAAAGCTCAGATTTTCCAGTCATTTGCTGTGAGTCGTGAACATGAATCAGGTGTGGCTCTTCTTCAAGCTCCTGGAGATTCTTGCGGGCAGCGCCTGCACCTACGTACACCGCATGGGCACGCTCCAGGAGGAGCCGATCAGCCACAATATGTTCTTCTGCGGCACCTTCGTGGGCTTCGTGCTGCTGGCGGCGATTCACTGCGCTCGCCTGGTGATGGGATTGCGCACGCTGCTGCGCCCGCTGCTCTTCATCAGCGTCCTGGGCTTCTGCATGCACGTCTTGTGCGCCCTGGTGTCCATGGGATTCGCCGAGAAAGACTTTCACCTGCAGTTCATGAGCGACGTGGGCGAGAATTCGCATAATTACTTCAGGGAGTGTCGACTGCAGAGCATCATCTCCATGGTGACCGCCGGCATCTATCTGATTGAGGGCGTGCTGGTGCTGGATATCATCGTGAAGATACCGCAGGCGGATCAGTTCCGGATGGAGGTGGTCACCGAGCCTCCGCCGCACGACGACGACTGGCAGAAGCTGAACAACGACGAGCGCGACACCTGGGCCAGAATATCAGCCGACGTGTTCCTGCTGGGCAAGGACTTCGACTACTGGCTGCGCGTCAAGTCCAAGTGGTTTCGCCAGCTGGCCGGCAATCAGCAGATAATTGTGGTGCCCGATGTGCGCTCGCACTCTGAAACTTCGGAGACTGCACTCAGCATAATTAGTATGACTGACATGTGAAGACACGGCTTACAGCACACTCGACACGATTCAACACGACTCAACACGATCTAGCCGAAACAAGAGATTCATCACGACTCAAGACGATCAAGCATCATCAGGGGTTTTTATACCAGTCAAGTTGACTCACTCATACAAGACTATACACGACTAGACACGACTCTCGATGACCTAACACGACTTGGCACGACTACAAGCAGCTCAAGATGAGCTGTCATACAAACATATCGACTCGAACTCAATGCAAAGCCAGGCAGCTTCTCACGAGCATCAGAAGAGACGGCATCTGACACTGACTGACTGACTAAGTCGTGCTCACGACTCACGACACACGACTCTGCACAGTCTGCACGCCTAACACCAACTTCCATATAAACGAATCGAAACAGACTCAATTTGTACTCAGCAACTTCTACACGACTTGACACGAACTGAACACGAATCATCGACGACACGACTGAGAGCACGATTCGACATGTCTAGGTATGATTTGACACGACTCAATATATAGCAACACGTAAACACACGAACTTCTTGAGCCACACCAATCTCTCTCCCTCTCTCTCTCTCTCTCTGTCTCTTTTCCTCCCTCTGTCTCTCTCTCCTACTTCAAATTTAAAGTTCGTCTCTAGCTCATAAATACAAAGTCTGCAGTTTTTATTTGAATTTATGCCTTAAGTTTCAGCTTGAGCTCGCATAGATTGCAATGATTTAGGCTGGCGCACTCATACGACATTTATATTTATGGTATATGTGTCTGGCTGGCGGTCGTCGAGCCTCCCTTGCCTTGCCTTCAGCATTTGCTGTCACATATCCATTTCATGCATTTGACTGCCCAAATTGTCAACTTGACATGAAATTAGAAAAGCGCAAAGCATTTAAACATGCTCCAATATGCAAATGAAAATGCTCAAAGAAATATTTGTATACACGCACACGCACACAGACACAGATATACATACGTATATAATACATATTTATGCCAGATATATATCTCTATATATGTATGTATATATAAATTTTTGCATGAATTTTATATTGTGTATGTCTGCGTTTTAAGGCCACAAACTGCTGTGATGACTGCATAAAATATTAAAAAATCTAATTTCCAAGTTTTCTTGCTTTTCCCAAGCTGACACGCCCCCTTAAAAAAATGTAAAAAACCAAAAAAAAAAAAAAAAAAAAAAAAAAAAAACGAAAAACAAAATGCCAAGCAGCTCGTCAGCCCGTCAGTCCGCCCGTTCGCCCGCTTCCTTGTAATTTGTATAAGCTTTTTAAGACCGCCAAATGCAAAAATCGCTGGCTGAATGTCGCTTCTGTTCCATCTGTTCCTCTCCATTCTCCTCCCACTCCCTCCTCCCGTTCGTCCCTCTCTGTTTACCCGTCGGACTGTCTCAAATCTCTTGCACAGTGCTGACAGTCGCTCTGGCAAAATGAAATAAAAATATGCATGTTAAATAAAATGTCAACGAGAACGCCATTTAGGGGCGTGGCACGAGTGGCTGGATGGTAGGTGGGGTTGGTTGCGCTTTGAGCGTGTTGTAAAGTGAGCAAGATTCATGTCAACCGAGCCAAATACGGCAACAAAAGGCATTTAAAATGGTTTCTCCTCTGAAACACATAATGCGCATAATAATCAAGCCAAAAGCCATTGCAAAGAACTTCACAGTTCCCAAGGCTACCTCGGGGCTAGTGTACTTACCTAACTAGTTAAAGGCCATTGAAATGGTAAGGCCAATGCAAAGAGCCTTTGCCAGTGGCCTATAAAGCAAGTGGAGCTCCGCCAGTGAAGTGGGAGCCCAACTTTAAGTTGATATTTTTATGCTCCTTATACAAGTCGCAGCTTTCATCATATTAGCCTCCTTTGAAGAAAAGCCTCAAAACGAATTTTTCACAATTCTGTGCACTACTTCATGAAGTTGAAACATTTTGTGGGTCTTGTGGTCGTTGATAGATGTTGATGATGAAGTGGGATGTGTCGTAGGAATTTAAATCTTCAAACTGGTTTTCAAAATAGATTATTTTGATCTGCATTCATTCCTATTTTTGCGATTCAATGGCAACTAAAAATTGTCTTTTAGGCTCTGTAGCATAGCGAAGCAGGCTAAGGAGCTGAAGGCATATGAATTTCAGTGAAGACTCAAAGTTGATCAGGACTACGCTGATCTAGTAATGCATGGAAAATACGATCCACTATTAAAAAATCTATACTTTATGATTTTTCTCTATTCCGAAAAATAATTTTTAAATTAAAAATTTTGTAAATTTTAATTATTTCCTACTAGTACAATATTCTTTATTTAATTACTTATGCATTTTTTCATTATTTTTTTTTTTTTTATCAATTTATTTATTTTATATTTTTATTGATTTTTTATTTCTTCACTTTTTTTTATTTTTTTTATTATTTAATTTTTTAATGACATTTATTTATTTACCATTTCTTACCTGATTTTATCAGCTCTTCACTTTTGATAAATATTTACAATAAATGCATTTTGATACACTTTAGCTTCTCTGAGTCTCTCTGTCTCTCTCTGTCTCTCTCGCTGCAAGCTGAAGCCAGGCTCTTCGAAAAGCTAAGCCATAAGCAAGTTAATCTCTAAGCTAATGTATTTTGCACTGAAGTCCTTTGTCCGATTATACGCATATTTAAGTGCTATTGAGCCATTAGCCTCACGTTTCGGTCGAGCTGCCTACATTTGGCTGCTGGCACAAGGTGCAGCTTTAAAGCAATCCATTGATTATCAGTTTCCGACTGGCGGCATTGCCAGCTACGCCGCAGCAGCCAAAGCCTTGAGTGCCTGCTCGCTCACTCTCAGCATCTGTCCTTCTTTCGCTTTCCCTCTCTCTCCCTCTACCTCTCTGTTCGTTGTCTGTCTCAGTCGACGTCATCCATCTTTTGTGTGCCAAATGGCACTCGGCAAAAGTTGCTGCAACCACTTCCGGCCATGCAATGGACTATTGGCCAACCCTTCACCAACTCAATTGCATCTTTTGTCTGCTCTTCCTCATTCGCTGCACATGTGTGTGTATGTATGTGTGTGTGTGTGTGTGCGTATATGTGTTGCTTTAATTGAATTGCTGTAAAAACGCGGCACAAATTATTGACTTCAAGTGGCAGCCAGCCAGCATATTTTCCTCTTCCTGCCTTCATTTCGTCTTTTTATTTTCATTTCTTTTGCGTCTTTTCTTCTTTGTATTTTTTGTTGTTGGCTGCCACAAAATTTTTCCATAATTTGAGTGGCCTGTAGCTTCAAGGAGTTTGGCGAGCCAAAAAGCTCCCCAAAGTTTTCCATCAAAAACGTTTAGAATGTTTTTTCCTGTTGCCTGTTGGCGCTCACACACACAACCACATACACGCACACATGCACACATACACATATCATTTTTTTTTTTATGTAGTCCCCCACATGCTGCTGTCCCCTGTGTGTCTGTTCTGCCATTGCCCGCCACGCATTTTGCTATTGTTCAACTTTGCTCCCCACTCCGCTCCGTTGCCCCTCTCTCTACTCCACTCTTCCCCTCCCGCCGCGCCTCGCCTCGTCAACTCTCTGGCTCATGCCCTAACCTACTTTTGACTTGCTCAATGTTGGCTTCTTTTCAGTGTTTCACCGTTTTGTTGTTGCTGGCGCACTCTTCTTCTTCTGCTTCTGCTTCTTCTTCTGCTTTTCTACTACTGCGGCTGCTGCTACAGCTTTATATTCTCCCATTTTTGTTGTTTCTTTTTTTTTCTTTTTTTTTTTGACATAAATTTGAAACTTTTCAGTTTTATTGTAGCGGACTCGTTGGCAGTAATGGATTTCAAATAGAGTTACTCATGGGTAAAATGTTTCATACTTTGGGGTATTAGCAAATCTGCAAGTTGACGACGACGACGACGACGACGACGGCGACGGCGATGCGACTTTTCATATTAATATGTGACTCCACTAAGCGAGTCAACTGTACTTTTGTTGTTGCTGTTGTTCGGCTGCTGTGTTTCGATTCCATTTCGTTTCAGTCTCTCGGTCTGCTTCGTTTTGTTTTGCATTTGGCATTTGCACACTTTGGAGCGCACTAAAAGCCTTAAGTTATTTGTAGCTGCTTGCTGGTCTGCTAATGCACATTTTATTGAAATAAATTCCGTGCCCACTTGAAGACGTTGGTTGCTCGCACTGGCTGCGGTTTCTTTGGCTGCTGCTGTTGCTGCTGCTGTTGCTGCTGTTTTGTGGCTGCTTTTAGCTGATTTTATGGCCTTAAGAGGCGTCCACTGCGGTGCTAGCGTTGATTTGCTGCGGTCCATACAGCCCAGGGGCCAGTTTATGGCCCCAACTTGGCATTCTCACCAACAGCCTTAAAGACGATACAGACTAAAGTCAGCTAACAGCGAACAGTGCGAACAGCGCGAACTACGAACTGCGAACAGCTAACAGCAGCCCAATTCCAAACACACTTAAAAATGCAAATGATATTTACGTTTTCAGCTTGAGCTGAGCTTCTTCCTCCTGGTCCCCCTCTTCTTCGGCTGCTGCTGCTGCTGCTGCTGCTTAAGTGCAAAGTTAAACGACGCCCCAAAGTATGCAATGCTCCGCGTGCTTGGCCTGCATTTTTAATTACGCACTGCAAATCGGTGCAGATAACAGCTGCTTGTTCTTTAGCTTCAGCTTTATCTTTACCTACTCCTTTTCTTCTTAGCTTCTGTTTTCCTTTGCTGCTGCTTCTTGAGCACACTCTCAAAAACCGATTCTCATAAAAGAAAGAAATGCATTTCTATACCCGAACTCAGCCAAAAGAGTTTCAGATAAGGGGGAGAGTCTACAAGCCTTATATGTACATATAAATGAGTTAGATTATTCAAATGCTCTCAAGATTGGTGATTTGCTGGCGAAAGTGTTTAATGAAGCAGATTATTAGAATCGGAATCGGAGTCGGAATCAGAATCAGAAACAAGTTTGCAATTTGCATAAATGGAATCAGTTTTAGGATAAATATTAATGAATCCGATTACAATTCAGCTGGGAGGCGGCCTGAATGGACCTGCTAACGGTTTCTAATTGCATTAAAATTCAAGCCATTTCACCAGTCTCTGGCTGCAGAATCATATTTTAGAGCCAGATACTTAGATAACGCTTGCCGCGCGTATATGGGCCACACTTCCGGCAGCCAAAGCGCGACGTTGGCGCATTTTAATGGCTTTTGTCTTGCCTGGCAGCCATCTAGCCGGGCCTACACACCTGCCGCCCACTGTGAATGGGGCGTGGCCTGGCTGAGCTGCGGCATGTGGTGCACGTTGCTTTGGGTGCTTTGCTGCATTTCAGTGTCATGCCGGCATTTAATTTCACTCACTGCGAAAATGTTTTATGTCTTGGGTAAACACTTGCCTCGCCGCGTTCGCGCTCAAGTGAATTTTATGCGCTGCACGACATTTTTGCAGCTGCTGCTGCTCGCTGCTCGCTGCTGCAGCTGCTGCTTTGCATTCCACTTTTTTTCTTCTCTTTGCTGTTTTAGTTTTTGCTGCCAACTTTGGCGAAAGTGAAAGCGCACAAAAAGGAACGAAAGAAAGCCAGAAGAAATGCAACACGAAATACAGCAACAACAGTAAGCAGCACACAGGTGCAAATTTTATGTGCGCATTTCACACCTGCCGCATCACGTGGCACACATACACACACACATACGCACCA